ATTTCACTCTTTTATAAAAAAAAAAAAAATGTAATGATGATGTGTCTTCTAGGAGTGTTGTGAGGATTAAATAAGATGGCATATATGAAAGCACCTAGTAAACTAAAGTATAACATACATATGAGGTACTGTTGTTTTTTTTCCTTAGGCATAGCTTGTTGGGGTGTAATCATCCTGGCAGACCCCAAAGGGAAAGCCTTCCGTGCTGATTGAAAGTACCGCCAGTGAAGTTGTCATCTTTGTCCGTGTCCCCATGACACCAGAACAAGCATCGGACTTACAGATGTTCTGTACAGACAAATGGATATTGGCAGACTTCAGTCCTGCAGATACGACAAGACTGAAAAGACAAATGTAGGTTGTTATTCTTTGGCGATGAATATTTGTGGCCTTCTTCTCAGACTCCACAGGGACCATTAATCCCTCAGAGAAGAGAACAAGTTCTGTGTCTTATCTAGAGGAAGAAGATATAATAAAAATGAAGACGAGATGATAAACCAAATTGGAAAACGAACCAAATTATTATTTAAAAAAGTTCTCTTTACTTCTCCTATAATGGCATCAACACTTATTAGCAACTTAACACTGGGTTTGTATCATACAATGTGCAGAAGTACATAAAAATTTACATGTGTACTGCTTATGATTTCTAAGGTGTTGTCAAATCAATTACCTTATGAGAGTTTCAAAGCTACTACTGTAAGGTGCTTATTTCACTGGTGGTAAGTGAAACTTGAAAATAGTTCTAGTGATTTGCCCATGGTCATTCAGCAAGTCAGTGATATAGCTAGGACTTGTTCTTGTTTAGTTCTAGTTCTTGTTTTTTAGAACTAGGATGATTTTGTGATGAAACAAAAATGAGCACACAATAAAAGACAAGTACCAAAATATTTGAGAGAAATTCACAACATTGTCATTAAGAACAAAAATCAGATTTTGTCCACAGCCACTGGAATTATTCCTGTGATGAAATTGAGATGCTTTTGAGATAATGACTTAAAATTTGATAGTTCATTTCTGAGAGAAGTCTATGCTTCCCTTTTCTATAAAGTTATACATAGCTTTTTGTTCAGAGCAGAAACATAGTCAAGTTTAGTTGTTAATCACAGTGTGTTAGTTTTGAAAGATAATGTTGAGCAAGTACTTTCAAGGCTTTTACTATCATGTATGTAGAAGTGCCTAAGCTTAATGCTGGATGTCTGTATTCCCAACATTTTCTTAGGTTAAACCAAAACTACATAAATCTAACTTGTTGGTCTTGGCTTGACCTTCTGGATAAACAGAGTAACTAAAATTTATATATGTAATGTAGGGGAACCTGGGCCGATTAAGCGTCCGACTTCAGCTCAGGTCATGATCTCACAGTTTGTGAGTTCGAGCCCCACATCGGGCTCTGTGCTGACAGCTCAGAGCCTGGAGCCTGCTTCGGATTCTGTGTCTCCGTCTCTCTGCCCCTCCCCCGCTCACGCTGTATCTCTCTCCTTCAAAAATTAGTAAACATTTAAAAAATTTTTTTATATATGTGATGTAATTTTAACATCTTTCTCAGAATTTGTACTAATGTGTAAGCAAATAAGAATTTTTTTCCAAATGAACTTGCCTTCTCACTAGAATATTGCCAAGATATATTTGGTTCTTCCCAACTTGGGTCTGTTTAACTAGGTTTGAGCAAAATAATGCTCTACTATGTCTATGGGCAGTAAACTAGGAATAACACCCCTCCCCCCAAAAAAAATAGATTAGTTAAATTTAAAATGAATAGTTGTTTTTCTTTTCTTCTTTTCTTTAACTTTGGAAGTGTATTCCAAAAGTTGTTTTGAGTGGCGCCTGGGTGGCTCAGTCGGTTAAGCATCCAATTCTCGGTTTTGGTTTGGGTCAAGATCTTACAGTTGGTGGGTTTTAGACCCTGTGTCTGGCTCTGCGCTAGCAGCATGGAGCTTACATGGAATTCTCTCCCCACCCCTCGCCTGCTCATGCTGTCTCTCTAAATAAATAAATAAATAAACTTCAAAAACTTGCTTTGATTTCTACCAGTGCAGTCAGAAATCCAGTTTCTTTTAGAGATGAGTCTGATCTTCAGAAAGAAAAGAGCACTTTAGTCTTACAATGCAAGGAGTACATATAGTGCCCCTATTATCATCCCTTTTGTTGGGGATGAAGTAGAGTGAGGATAAACAGACGCAAGAATAAGTGGTTATTACTCAGTAATGTAAGAACACCCATATTTATGGGTTTTGGAATCTCTTTATTGCATGGAAATACGAGTTTATAAAGGCTCATAATTACTTTTGGCAGAAGAGAAAAAGTACAAATAAAGGCAATTTAAAATTAACTTAGAGTCTTCCTTGAAACACAAACCAAAATGTGAACATACATGTAATCGCTGATAATGTTCATAATGTCCAGGGTATCTATTAACCTTTACATAGTGTAAACTTTGGTAGCTCAAGATAATCAAGAAATTATTACACCATCTCTTGTTCTGTGTATTGTATTGACTAGTCTGTAATCCTTTGACCAGCTAACAGTATATCAACATATGAAAGCACCCTAATGTAGATTGATCTTCAGGATCTTGATATATTTTGGGAAGGAGAGGGGAGGGGTCTCTCTTTCTAGGCCGATTGCTATTGCCAGCAACACTGGAGTGTTCAAGTACAGATCTATCTAAAAAGTTATGGAGTTTCACCTGGCTGAGACTAGTTGCTGAGACCATGGTTTCTGGGGGGCCCTAGAGGTTAAGCATCTTGGGCATGATTTGTACTTCACCTCTACCGTCAGCATTTGCTCCTTGCTTCTTCTTATTACTGGTTTCTTAGCCTGACTGTGTCTGAATTAGGGGCCTCTTGAATGAAGCCAGTTGATTTGACAACATAAAATAAATTGCTCCTAAATTAAATTTAAATACATGTTCAGGACAAGCATATGTTCAAGTACTCCCTCTCCGCCCCAAACCAGGCTTGGCCTCAACTGATTTATTGCCAGGACTGCATTGATCAAACTAATACTTCTCAAATCTTGGTCTAGGATAGTAAGCAATTTTGAGTTGAAAAGCCACTTTTTTTTTTTTTTTTTTTTTTTTTTCCTTTCAATGACAGATAAATCCTTGCCTTGACCCAATGATTATATAGGTGTTAGGGGCACAGAGTCAGAGGGGAAAGACTTATAATTACACATCATTCAGAAGTACCCCAAGAGCACGGGGAGAAAATCAGTCACTCTTCTAAATCCATGTCTCTTGGCCTTTGAGATATTCAGCAACTTGTCATTCAAATGTAGAAGGAACATAGAGAAATAGCCCAAAGGGCACATGTTAAATGTAATAATGCTGCTAAAAGTCACTGCTCAGTCATGGGACTGAACTTGCATTTGCTTCAGGAATGTGGTAGACAAGATTCTTAAGATGGTCCAGATCCCTGGACACACACTTTCTTCCAGTTATTCAAAGACCATTCTAGGTGCTTCTGTGAAGGAAATTTGTAGATGTAATTAAGGTCCCAGATCAGTTGATCTTAAGATCGGGAGATTATCCAGATGGGCTGATCACACAAGCCCATTAAATCTTGTTCTAGAGGTCAGAGGCAAGAGAAGTTGGAGATTAGAAGGAAGAGGATTCAGTATAAGTCCCTGCAGTACTAGAAGAAAGCAAACATTCCTATGAACTACCTCTGGGGCCATGTGGCTAGGAACTGCCAGCTGCCTGGAATTGCTGAGAGTAATAGCTAAGCAGGAATCTGGGACCTCAGTTCTACAACTACAAAGAAATGAATGCTTCCAACAACCTGTAGGCTTGGAAGAGGGCCTTATGAGAAACGAACTGCAGCCCCAGCCAACACCTTGGTTTCAGCCTCATGAGACCCTAAGCAGAGTATCTAGTCATGCTGTGAGACCATGAAATAAATTTGTGCCGTTTTAAGTCTCCAGGTTCCTGGCAATTTGTTACACAATAGAAAACTAATACAATGAATCAGGAATATTTTATGGTGTCACAGTTATGGTAGATGGCATGCCAGACTAATTATGCACCCCCTTTCTGGATATTCAGGAATTAGCAAGAAGAAGCCATCTGAATAGCATTTGTCTTTACAGTTACTGTCTTCACTTGTTTTTACTGGTGGCTTTTCTGGACAGTTTTTATCTTCTATTTTCTAGCAAAATTGTTCCACTGCTGAATATATATTTCAAAAAAAATTACAGCACCCTTTTGATGTGCCAAACATGCTAAGTGCTTTGTAGGAATTGTTAAATTCTCTCAGCAGCCCTGTTTTACAGTTGAGGTAACTGAGCCCTGGAACAGAGAAGAGTTTTTCCAAAGCCTCAAGTGATGAAGCAGTAGTGGCTTGGTGAAGAGCATGATCTGGGAAGTGCAGATTCATGTTGCTATAGTCTTTTTCTTAGCATTCATTCTCAAAATGTTCAGATGTCAAAATTAGAAATTTTGAATTCTGATTTTCCATTTTTCTTGGTTATCCCTTAGTTTAACATGTATCATTTTTTTTTTTTTTTGGTTTCCTCTTTATAATTGAGGTTATATCACTTATCACTCTGACAAGCAATTTACATATTAATCCAGGACAAGAAATTCATATCTCCCTTAGCAGGCTCATACCCTTCCATGACTTTACCCCAATCTCTCCTGACCATTCTCCTGAACTTAAACCCTATTTCCCAGCCACAGTAGGGCATCCTACCTACCTCTCTGAAGAAACCAGAATCCCAACTTGTCCAAGATGAACTGATTTCACTCCAACCTACTTCTATTTGCTGTATCTGTTCATAGCATTTCCAATTCATCAGTGGACCAAGCTAGAAACAATAGAATTATCTATGGCTCTCTTTACTCTTATTTACCTCTGATAGCAAGTCCTAGTTATTTTAACCCTGTAATACTCTTTCCTGTCCATTTCCATTGCTATTGTTTTGGATAAGTTATCATTTCTTTTTTTTTTTTTTTTTTTTTTTTTTTTTTAACATCTATTTATTATTGAGAGACAGGGAGACAGTGAGTATGAGCAAGGAAGGGGCAGAGAGAGGGGGAGACACAGAATGCAAAGCAGCTCCAGGCTCTGAGCTGTCAGCACAGACCCTGACACAGGGCTCGAACTCACAAACTGTGAGATCATGATCTGAGCTGAAGTCAGACACTCAACTGACCGAGCCACCCAGGCGCCCCCAGTTACCTTCATTTCTAATGTAGATAGCTGTAATAGATT